TAATCGATAGAGTTTACCAAAACTGAATGACACTGTCCCGTCCCTGTAGGAGCCATAGGTGATACTAGAGGCCAAAAGGGGGATATTCAAACGGGTCTGAACTACTTGTAAACAGAAGGGGAGGGAGGTGGAAAACAACTACTTGTAAACAGAAGGGGAGGGAGGGGGAAAACAACTACTTGTAAACAGAAGGGGAGGGAGGGGGAAAAAAACTTTTATTACATGATTTTTTTTTTAAATTTAAAGAACTACTGCTTAACCAAACTATCAACCGAATTGACAGTAGTGTTATTAAAGTAACATACAGACCGTGGTTAACCTCATCGATACTATTTAACCCCATCTAATACCACAGTAAACAATGTAATACTGTTCTTTTACAAAGCATAATCAATAAAATATTGTTTCTTGAAATGTTGAAAAAAAATCAAAGGAACACCTTTAATCTCCACACTGAAATAACATCTGTAAAAACATCTCCAATTAAAATTTTATTGGATGTGTAAAAAAGAACTTCTCATAAAACATTTCCACATTTTTCACCGTCATTCCTCATTGTTCCATAACCTTGATATTTGTATTTGATATTACTATAAGAAGCTATAATTTCGGATGTTACCCTTATCTATGTATAGGTGACGGAAGGGTCAGCCGGGCCGAGTACATGGACTTCGTTGACCGCTACACTCCGGACCTTCACGCGCTCGGACAGGAGTTGTACAACGACTATGACATCAACAAAGATCACCACATCGATATCACCGACTTCGAGGCTTACTTTACGATACTCGACACAAGTGGTAAGTCTAGTTAACCATAATTATACCAAATATACCGAGAGTGGTAATCTAGTTTACCATACACAAAATAGAGTGGTAATCTAGTTTACCATACACAGAATAGAGTGGTAACTCTATCAACTATACACAGAATAGAGTGGTAACTCTATTAACTATACACAGAATAGAGTGGTAACCATATCAACTATACACAGAATAGAGTGGTAACTATATTAACTATACACAGAATAGAGTGGTAACTATATTAACTACACAAAGAATAGAGTCGTAACTCTATTAACTATACACAGAATATGCCGACAGTAGTAACTCTAGTTTACCATTACTACACAAAAAAAGAGTGGAAACCCTTGTGTACCAAAATTATACCAAATATACCGAGAATGTTAAACTAATTTACCAGAATTATGCAAAATATGCCGAGAGTGGTAACTCTAGTTAACCATACACAAAATATGCTGACAATGGTAATCTAGTTTACCATCATTATACAAATTGTGCCGAAAGTGGTACCTCTGGTTAAAGCTAATTGCATGATATGTTACACAAGTTGTAAATATTTCTAACGATAATTACAGCACAGCTAATATGAGTTTTGGCTAAAAGTTAACCAATTAGCATATAACACGAAATATAGCTCTGGGTAAACAGTTTCCTAACATGCTACATGACTTATTACAGGCGGTTATTCTGATCAAGTGTAAACCATATTCTGTGACACGTTTCATTACATTCTTACTACACTGTAATATTTTACTGGATAATCATGACGAAAGTAACACATTTCTTTCTTAAAACATGTCTGTTCAAAAAGAAAAGATTTATCCAAAAAAATAATAGAATGTCAAATTGCATTATGTCGGAACATCACTAACTGTTCTTTGTTAGAGTTGCTCTCACAAATCAGCTTTACTTAAGAAACATGTAACATACCAAGTTAAAGGACACAAGTTAGGTTTCGTGTTGGAAGGGAGACAACCACTCAATTTATATTCTTGCTGTGTGGAGTCGTATTATTGCTATGTGGAAACCATTTAAAAACGGAGATTCCCCATCACGGTGAAAAATGTCATCCTTGACTTCTCCACATAAACCAAGTTAAAAATAAAAAACGAAAATCAAAATCATATACAATGACTCTAAACGTATCTAAAACTGTACAAATGCAAAAATTAACAGTACGTTCGTTAATAAGTAACTTAACAATACTTTGAGTGGATTTAATAATAGTAGTTTATTAAATTTATACTCTGATAAAACAATGTAGTGTATAATATAAGGCGATAAGTTAATAAAACAAACAATGTGAGTGCTGACCATGGTAATAATACACTAAAAATAATATAGTGTGTGCTGACCATGGTTATAATATACTAAAAACAATATAATGAGTGCTGACCATGGTAATAATATACTAAAAACAATATAGTGAGTGCTGACCATGGTAATAATATACTAAAAACAATATAATGAGTGCTGACCATGGTAATAATATACTGAAAACAATATAATGAGTGCTGACCATGGTAATAATACACTAAAAATAATATAGTGTGTGCTGACCATGGTAATAATATACTAAAAACAATATAATGAGTGCTGACCATGGTAATAATATACTAAAAACAATATAGTGAGTGCTGACCATGGTAATAATATACTTAAAACAATAAAGTGAGTGCTGACCATGGTAATAATATACCAAAAACAATATAGTGAGTGCTGACCATGTTAATAATATACTAAAAACAATATAGTAAGTGCTGACCATGGTAATAATATACTAAAATCAATAAAGTTAGTGCTGACCATGGTAATAATATACTAAAAACAATATAGTGAGTGCTGACCATGGT